TCTAAGTTTAGGTGTTTCATATCAAAACATTCATCTCATTAAGGAAATGGGTGCGATGACATTTACTTTTTGTAGCTACATTTTGAAAAAGTTAATCTTTTTTTAGCAAAAAGTCAATGGAGACAAGAAGACTCAGCGTGTTGAAAAGAAATGTCGAGAAGAACATCCCAGGAATGAGGCAGATCTGAAGATTTCAGCATCATTACATTTCAGCAGCAAAACACGTCCTTTCTGTAGTTTGGTTTATGTTTGGGTCAAGCTGTTTTTGTTGTCACATGTCCATCGGGTTAGCCTTGCTTCCAGTTTTGGTTTTCCTCAAAGTTTGTTTCTTTGTGGTTTTCAAATCTGTGTTTGGTACAAACTGCCCTGTCTGTCCTGTTTCATTCAGCAGATCAAATCTGTCAAATCATATTTTTTTCTTCTTTCCAGACTGATGCTGTTGTTTGTGTGTGCTGTTTTCCTTTGTCATGCAATGGCCTGATTCCTACTTCATTTCATGTTTCTGAAAAAGTCTGGATCATCTGCTGCAGCAGCATGTTCCAAAGTAAAAAATAAAGTTCAGTTTGTTACTTTTTCATGAGCGAGTATTTGAGTCTTCATCTTTAACAGCAGCATGTTGTGACACTGAAATATTGACTTTTTTTCAGGGTGGTATTTCCTTGTACTCATCCACTCTGTCATCTCACTGTTTGAGTTTTCAGAAAGATTTTATTTATTTATTTATTTATTTATTTATTTATTTATTTATTTATTTATTTATTTATTTATTTATTTATTTATGCTTGGACCATTATATAGTGGATTGATATCACACCCACACTTTATAACCACAAGTTCTACACTGTAGGTTCATTTACACATAAATATAGAAGGGAAAAATATTTTCACAGTTTATCTTATTAGGATTAGGGTGACTAGTCATAACCTTAGCATAACAAGAATTCACATCTTGGCCCTAACCTCAACCACCTTCAGTAATGTTGTTTTGCTGCATTAGGACAGAGCTTTGGTCCCCAAAAGGATTAGTACTAGTGCTGACAAGGTCAGTGATTATATTGGAAAAGGTCCCACAGGCATTAACAAACACAAATACACACCCTTACATTTGACCACTCTTCTGAACTGATGTCTTTTAAGCATGTGTGGATTTCTGCAAACTGCTTTGCAGTGGGACCTAATTGTGAAAAGCATGCCGTAAATACACCTGGCTTGTTTTGAAAGCAGTATGATTGCTCTGGCCATATGTTATCGTCTTAAGACACGGTTCCACATTCGCCTGGGGAATTTGGTGCTGCAAATAAAGAAAATGATTAAACTTGACTGTTTCAGCTGCCTTTTTGTTCTGTAATATCCCAGGAGTATCATAAGCTGAGAAGATGGATTTAGCTGCCGGCTGGCTGTGTTCAGCTTCTATAGGTTACACAATTTTCCTTTTATAGGGGAGGATTTCAGAGAAGTTGCTGCAATCATTTACTATAAGACTCCGGCTTAAAAGAGTTGTGAGTGACAAAGACAAAATAAGCAAAAAATTGTCTAAATTAGATCAGTGAGGGTGGGGTTGTGGTGTCTCCAGGGGATTACCAGTCTCAAAAAATAGGCCCATGATAAGTGCAAGCAATTTTTAAAATGGAGTCACTTTAGCAGCACGAAAAGAAAGATTTGGGTAACACCAATGGATATATTTTTAAAGGGAATAGTGAGGTCGCAATGTACAAATGAAGCAAACCAAATCATTTCAGTTTCAGTTAAAAGGGATATGTGTTGGCTTTGATTTTTATGAAGTCATATTTTATCCAAATATCGTGTTAATTTGAGATACGTTTTGGGCATTCCAGTCACATTCCCATGATGCATCTTAAAATAATACAATATTGCTGCAACATGACAAACAGAAACAAAAGTAGTAGACATTAATAAAGACAGTAAACAGATCCAGAAAGGATGATGTAGGACTTCGTTGGCTCAGACTGAAAAACGGTCCATCGTTATGCCAGCATCAGGTCAGCTTCATGTCACCTCTCACAGCTCAAGGCATTTCACACGATGTACTGTATATCTCTGTTAACAGGGTGGTAATGACAGCGGTGCCACTGACAGGAGGGAATGCAAGGGCCTTGGTGTTTGCTCAGTCAATCTTAAGCAGTGATAAAAAGTCTGGGGATTCAGCTGCAGGGGAGGGAGAAAAAAGACACTGTAATCAACAAGTAAATATTTTAAAAGCACAAATGCATCTGAGTATGAATTAATTCATCTCTTCTAAGTTGACAGTATTTTTGAATAGTTTGTGAAAGCCAAAGTAGCAATGCAAACATACCAAGTTTGTGAGCTCCAGTGACCACAAACACAAAATGAAACTTTAAGCCTTTTTTGTGGGTAATCAGCAATGAAGGATCAACCTAAAACCATTGTTTGTTTTCTGACATAAATAACGCAAAAAATGGACTTGAATCAAAACAGTTGAATCTCAGTCCCAGCTGTATGTATGTGATGTACTCAACAATAAATTGTCAGCACATCAGCGGTACAAGTACAAACTTTAGTCCTTAAAAGACAGACACTTCCATCCACTAGTAAGGATTGGTCATTTACAATAAATTTGATATAAATGTGGCATGACAGAATATCATCAAACTCCGTTCTTGCTTCAAAAAATAAGCTCTAAAAATTAGGTATGATCCAATTCCCTCCATGCCATCACTGCTGTCAGAAAATTCTATTCATCTTCTTTTTTCATTTTCTCTCGTAACAAGAAGCTGTCAAGGCCCAAGGGCTTTGCCTAGCAGTTTGCTTGGCTATATTTATAATTGGACCCTGTCAACAGTGTCCAGTGCAACTCAAGTGCAAGGTTTGTTATGGCAGCTAGTGTGTACTGATTTCAACACACGCCAGCTGTGAGATGGTTTGTCTGTCATTAACACATAGCTATGGGAAGGTGCAGACACAATGGTTGCTCCCACATGCTTGCGGATGGAATGGAAATCTAAAGAGATCAAAGAAAACGGAGCACAGCTGAAGCTAAACTCTTGCAGACGACGTAGAGCTCCAGGAGTGCCACGTATTTAACAAAGACTGAATAACAAAATGCACAGTCAAAGAAGCTATGCCTGCCATACAATAGAATCGCACACTTAAGCTACATAAGTTAAATGTTTTTTCGTCTATCACTTGACATACTAATTGTAGGTAATAACACTTCAAATGCCAAAACAGATTGAGGGTTTTGCATGCTCATCTATCTGCTCATCAGAAGCTCAGCTAAGGTTTGTTTTATTTTCCTCTGTATCTGCAATTCCTATCAAAGTTTGCACCAGTGCTCTCATGTTCTAATCAAATCCAATGTTAATAAATTTCTGTCATTTTGGCCTGCCCTGCTGTGTTGCCAGGCATCTGGGTGGGTGTTCTCCTAATCAGCGCTAGTTCCTCAAATACTGCTAGTGGTGCAAAAAGAGGTCGGTTCATGACTGAGCCTGTCAAGAGTCAAGGGAAAATGCTCTGCTTGGAAAAGCGTCAGATACCTAGAGGACAGAAGGAAATGGGGGCAATGTCACTGCTTGGCTCCAGTAAATACAGCAGAACTTTGATCTACTAAAGAGGGTTTTGTGGGAAGGGTGAAACCTGCTCAGGAGAGATTCTGTATCTAATGACTGAGGGAACACATTTCTGCCTGGACCAGTTTAGTCAACATAAATGTTCATTTCTAAAAATCACATTTGAACAGAGCAGTATCTTAAAATTTTGTTAAATAAAGAAAGACGCATTGATTAAAACTGGTTGAGTTATTGCCTTCTTTTTTGTAAGCTAAGGTTGATAAAATCAGGTGGCCATCTTCAACTGGGTTGACCCCAAAAGTTAATCAGTTGTAGATGTACTGATGCTGCAAATGTCATTAAAATCTATCTGATGGTTCACAAGATAGTTTTCTAAAGGCAAAGTTCTAAATCTAGATACTGATGGTCAGTTAAAGCTTAAAGTATGTGTTGAGGATGACTCTCAGTTACTACCAGACAAAGTTTCAGCTTGATATACTATTTAAAATTAGGGCTGCACAATATATTGCAAATATATTGTTATTGCAGTATCTGTGTGCGCAATATTCATATCACAAAGGACTGCTTGGGGTGCAGTAATTGTCTACTGTATTTGAAGAATTTTGAAGCTGTGTTTTACATGCTAATGCAATATTTAGCCAGTAGTACAGGGTATTACGGCAGCAGAAGCTCATATCTGACACAATGTCACGTAGAAGTAGAGATTTTGTACAGATTTTGGGGGTGGGGGGTTGAACATATATCACACCTGATATCATTATCACAATATTTACAAATAGTGCTGCCAAATGTGCTGTAATATAGCCATTTGTGGGTTGGTAAGTTTATTTGGCCATGTTGAATAAGACTAACTTGAAAAGCTAATCAGTTGTAGATATATACAGTATCTACTACTTCCTGGGCGTTTCATTAAAATCCACTCACTGGTTTATTAGATATTTTGCTAACAGACATATAAACAACGATTCTCACACAGTTTAAAAAAACATTCACAGCTAATAAACTTCTTTAACATAAAAAGGCAAATTGCATAGATTTTTATTAAGAGATTCGTATCAAAGGAGAAAAGCATCACACACGCAGAGATGGTTTGTGAAGAGAAAATAAAAACCAGTAGGGGGAGATACAGTTCTTTATCCAGTCAAAGCCAAATACAAGAGTTTGCTCACACATCTGCTTTTGGGTGCTTTTTTCATCAGCCTGAGTTTTGCAGAATCAATTTGGAGAAGCCAATTAATTTTAGACACATTTTCAAGCATATTTTAATCTGCTCCAAACGCATTTAAATAAAAACAATCAGAACATAGGGTGTTTTATTTTATTTTATTTTATTTTTTTATTTATTTATTTATTTATTGTAAGTGGCACTGCAGCTCAGCCTCTGCTTCTCGCGCAAATATCGCCTTACCCATTTACCCCCAGGGAACCTTAACAAGTCTCTCCTACCTGGCACCGTTTATTCTCTGCAGAACGACACCAACCGCGTCCAATAAAATCCTGGCAAACGCATTCCTGTGGAGACATTAACCAATCGGCAGAGAGGAGGGCGTGACTCTCCTTTACTCCAGCAAAGCAGAAGTATGAAGTTCAGTTAACAGTGAGCCGCTGCAGTGAGAGAATGGTGCACCTTCGCGCGCGCAGGTGCGTCGTTTTATTATCCAACCCCGATTTTGTGCACCTATAAACTTTAGCCGAAGGGTGTATTTTGACAGAAGCGCATGCACAAAGTTCTGCGGGTCTCCGCTGCGGTTCCGCTCCACAAATGGCTCGGATTATCATTGTTGCCCCGCATCTGCACGGGACTGGCGCTGCTTTGATTCTGCTCGCGCTCATTCTGACAGGTGATGCAGCCGCAAATGTTTTCGACAGCTACGGATTGTCATACGCCCTGAGGGCTGAGCTTTCAGAAGACACGATATTGGTCGCCAATAACGGGATCCGCGTGCCTTTCGGGAGATCCGTTTCTATTGATCCCGTGAACGATTTGGTTATCCAAGTTCAGCCGGGTGACAGATGCAGCGTTACAGTTTTGGACAACGACCCCCTGTCTCAAAGGCCGGGACACCTGTCTCCGAAAAAGTTTCCTTGTGAATTTGGCCCCAGCGACGTGAAGTACTCTCACTTTGGCTCCAGGAGTCCTCCGAGGGACAGAGTGAGATTACAGCTCAGGTATGACACGCAAACGGATACAATTATAATCCCATTCATGATGGAGGTGGAGGTTGTTTTTACTCAGCTGGAAGTGGTGACAAAAAACATGCCTCTTACTGTTGACAACCTGCTGGGCGCAAGTAACCCTATAGACAGAGGGATATTGGAATTTACCTTTGATAGAAGTGCGCACCAGTGTAAAGTAGTCTCCCTCTCCAGTGGCAGCATGCTTCCCAGATATGGTAAACTTGTGGATGACAGCCTGGGAACAATGGTAGACTGTGATGATTTTATTAGGAAGAACACCCGCTATCAGCATACTTTTGCTTTGAAGTCTCCCAACAGAGATTACATCCCCATGCTTGTGGAATTACAGGACAGAGAAGGCAATGTGCTCAAGCAGGAATTTTTCCAAATTTTGGTGAGAATAAAAGATGGGGAGGACAACACGCCCCCTAAGCCCAGCTTTGTTGCTATGATGATGATGGAAGTAGATCAGTTTGTAATGACAGCAGTAACCCTGGATATGTTGGCTGCAGAGGATGTGGAGTCAAACCCTGATGATTTAATTTTCAACATCACCTCCCCCCTCACTTTTGATGAAGGCTACATAGTCAGCACAGATGACAGGAATTTACCAATAACATCATTTTACCAAGGAGACCTCAAAGAATTGAAAATTGCGTATAAACCTCCTGCTGTGGATTCAGACACAGAAAGGATTTTCCAGATTGAGTTTGAGGTGGTGGACACAGAGGGTGCTGTATCAGACCCATTTGCTTTCATGATTGTTGTTAAGCCTATGAACACGCTGGCCCCTGTGGTCACAAGAAATACAGGACAGTTACTATATGAAGGTCAGTCCAGACCTTTGTCTAGTTCACAGAATCTGGAAATAAGTGATGAGGATAATTTAGACAAAGTACAAATTACTGTAATTGCTGGCCTGCGGCATGGAGAGTTAAACATTCTGGGTTCCACTAGGAAATTTTTCACCCCAGCTGACCTCGACGCTGGAGTTGTCACCTACCAGCATGATGGCAGTGACACATACAGTGATAACATTATCTTCAGAATGATGGATGGCACGCATGAGGTGGAGTTTTTGTTTCCAATCACAGTTGTGCCAACAGATGACGAGCCGCCCATAATCAACGCCAACACTGGTTTGGTTTTATTCAAAAACCAAATGATGCAAATCTCCTTACTTATGCTCAGTGCAGCTGATATTGACTCAGAAGATTCAACAATAAAATTCACATTAGAGCCTCCCTTTTCAAAGATCGGGCAGGTGTTGCTGCGCCAGTCTGAGGCACCAGAAGACCCATCTACCTGGAAGTTTAATACAGATGATGAAATGTATGAGAAAGTTGTAACTGAATGGCTTCAACAGGATATTACTGATGGAAAACTTTTCTACAAGCACTCTGGACTCCACAGCACCAGTACAGTAATGGATCAGTTTGTGTTTAAAGTACAAGATGACAATGACCCACCTAATCAATCAGGTAAGAGCACATTTATTATAAAAATTCTCCCTGTTGATGACATCCCACCTGAGCTGTACCCTGGCACAACCCTGCAGATGACGGTACATGAATATCAGCTTACCTACTTCAAAAAAAATTATCTTCGGTACACTGACCTTGACTCAGAAGATCGGGATCTCAAATACACAATCATCCAACTGCCAACAGACACAGATGATAATAACCCAGTTGTTTTGGGAACTCTTGTGTTGACTGAAAACCCCAACATGGAAGTGACAAGTTTCACCCAGGCACAAATTAACCACCATAAAATAGCCTACAGACCACCTGATCTTGAGCTTGGAATTTCCACTCATGTTTTACAGTTCAAGTACACCGTGGAGGATGATTCTGGAAACAGTGCAGAAGGATTTTTCACTATATTTCTAAAGCCTGTGGACAACAAACCACCACAGATAACAAACTCAGGGTTTACTGTGATTGAGCATGGCCAACATATACTAACAAGAACTGAGCTGGACACCACAGACACAGACACAGACAGCAGCAAAATAACATTCACTGTTACACAGCCTCCTCTTCATGGTCAGATGCAGTTTAAATTCACTGATATGACAAAAGGAGATATTTTCAACTTACATCATATTGGAAAGGGCATGATCTCATACATTCATAGCGGAGATGAATCAACAGTAGATTTAATACACATAGATGTCAGTGATGGGGTGCACATTGTCCCAATAACAATAAAGATTACCATAAAGCCAGTTGATGATGAAACTCCAACTATCATTCTTCCAGCTGGAACAATAGGTTCCTACTTAGATGTACTCGAAAATGAAGCCACAGAAATCACAAGTAATGTCCTCCAGGGAAGAGATGAGGACACAGATGACCTTCGTCTGACTTTCATTGTTGAAGACAAGCCATCATTTGGTGAAATTCTGGTGAAAGGGGTTCCGTCTGACACATTCACTCAGGCTGATATCATTAATGGCTTTGTGGTCTATGCTCATACAAGCGGGGAGATCGGCCTGAACACAAAGGAGGACTTTTTCAATCTCACTCTGACTGATATGTCTGATGAGTGGACTGTGGGAGGAAATAAAATCACAGGTGTCAGAGTGCATGTAACTATTCTTCCCCTGGACAGCCAGGCTCCAGAGGTCTTTGTTAGGCCACAGTTCACTGTTACTGAGGGAGAAAAGAATGTCATTCAGACTCTTCATATAAGTGCCAATGATGTTGATACCCCCAACGATGACCTCCTTTGTACAATTATTGTACAGCCCACTTCAGGGTATGTGGAAAACATCTCTCCTGCCCCAGGCTCAGAGAAATCCAGGTCTGGCACAGCTATTAGTGCTTTCACCATCAAGGACATCAGACAGAATCACATTTACTATGTTCAAAGCATTCACAAAGGAGTTGAACCGGTAGAGGACAGGTTTACCTTCAGATGCTCTGATGGCATCAATTTCTCTGAAAGGTACTTTTTCCCCATTTCCATAATCCCTTCTAATGATGAAAAGCCTGAGATTTACATGAGAGAATTTGTAGTTATGGAGGGCATGAACATAGTTATTGACACTCCTATCCTGAATGGTGCTGATGCAGATCTCCCTTCTGATCAGCTCACAGTCTTTATCACCAAACCTCCCAGGCATGGATTTATTCTCAATCAGCTCACCACTGGCTCCCTCCCTGTATCTAACTTCACTTTGGATCAGATCAGGGAGGCCTCCGTTATTGTGTATGAGCATGATGGCTCAGAGACAACAGAGGATAGCTTTGACATCATTCTCACAGATGGAAAGTTCAGCGTGGAGAAAACAGTAATAGTTATGGTAATCCCTGTGGATGATGAAACTCCGAGGCTGTCCGTCAACGATGGCCTTGAAATTGAGATAGGTGAAGTTAAAGTAATTAACAGCAATGTTTTAAAAGCTACTGATCTTGACTCAGAGGATAGTACGCTGACTTTTATTATCAGATATGGGCCCGGTCAGGGGTATTTGCAAAAAACAATATTGTCTGGAGAATTTCAAAATATAACCGTTGGGATGAATTTTACACAAAACGAAGTAGATCAGGGACTGATTATTTATGTCCACAATGGGCAAGAAGGAATTCGTGACCTCATCAAATTTGATGTAACAGATGGATTCAACCCTTTAATTGACAGATACTTCTATATCACAATTGGTGACATTGACATGGTCTTCCCTGATGTGGTCAGTAAAGGTGTATCCCTTAAAGAGGGGGGCAGAGTTACTTTGACAACTGACCTTCTCAGTACAAGTGACCTTAACAGCCCAGATGAACACTTAGTTTTCACAATTACCCGTGCTCCTGTGAGAGGGCACTTAGAATGCACAGACACACCTGGGATGCCAATCTCATCCTTTACGCAGCTCCAGATGGCTGGTAATAAAATCTTCTACATTCACACCGCTGACGACGAAGTGAAAATGGATAGCTTTGAATTTGAAGTGACTGATGGTTACAACCCTGTGTTCCGCACTTTCCGGATCTCCATCACTGACGTGGACAACAAAAAACCTGTAGTAACAGTACACAGTCTGGTGTTGACAGAGGGAGAAAACAAGCTCATCACACCATTTGAACTAACAGTGGAAGACAGAGACACTGTCGACCGGCTCTTGAAATTCACAGTTACTCAAATCCCAGTTCACGGTCGCCTGCTCTTTAACAACACCCGGCCTGTCACCTCCTTCACAAAGCAGGACCTGAATGAGAACTTGATCAGCTACAAACATGATGGCACAGAGAGTGCAGAGGACAGTTTCTCCTTCACTGTCACTGACGGCACCCACACGGACTTCTATGTCTTCCCTGACACAGTTTTTGAGACTCGAAATCCTCAAGTGATGAAGATTGCAGTTCTTTCTGTGGATAATGGGGTGCCACAGATTGTAGTAAATAAAGGTGCCCCAACACTGCGAGTTCTGGAGACAGGTCACCTTGGCTTTGTTATCACCAGTAAGACCCTTAAAGCAGAGGACAGAGACAGCATTCAGGGCTTTGTTACATTTAGGATTACTGCAGGCCCAGAACATGGCTACCTGATCAACCTTGGCAAAGGAAATGCTACTATCACCACCTTCACGCAAGGTAGGAGTACTGCTCATTATATCACTTTATTGTAATGTTCTACATTTGTAACATCCTAAAATTTTCTCATGGAAGACAAGTTTTAATTTTCATGGGCATTTGATGTTAATCTTTAACTCACCTAACTTCCTGTGATCCCCCCCCCCCCACACACACACACACACACACACACACACATGCACGCGTGCACTCATATTTTTTTCATGCCTGGTAAAAAGAACAATACCTTCTTTTATCATAAAGGTTTTTGTTATGTTTCATTCAGTAGAAAGTCTGTTTAGATAGAAGAAGTATGTATGTGCCCCAGGCTCCTGATCTCCAGAGGAGTGCATTTTTCAAACAATGCCTAGCGTGTTTCACTTTGGGAGAAAACTGCTGGAAATTTGTACATTACTGCAGAACAGTTTTCTAAGAAAAGCCAAGAGTTTTACAACTATGATGACAGATATTATAAACAAGGAAACATGTCAAACGAAGGGAGACTGGCTCAAAGCAAATCACTGACTTTGTAAACAACACAGGGTGCCTGCAGAAGCTACATTTCAAACAAACCATAGGGGCATCTTGCTTAATGGGAAATCTCTGTGTAGCAGCACAAGCATTCTGACAGTGTTCATGTTTCCCTGCTTTTATTTACTGAACCAATGTGAAAGGCTTCCCCCATAGACTAAATATTCAAAAGTAAACAGTGAAAACAGACATTTTCTAAAAGTAAGTTGAATTTATTTTCATTGCTTTATTTTTTTACCCATTGCTTTTTTGGGAATGATGTTTGAATATTAAATTTTGAATACAGTAAATGTTTAAACTTCACATTACAAAAGTTTCTTCATCATAAAGGATCCTGTCATGCCTTGTACCATCAGCATGACATGCATGGGAGTGATGGTGCACCAAGAGTCAAGAAATTCCTATTGCTCAATATCATTCAGGATTGGAACATATATATATATATATTTCTTTTTACCAGGCAACCTTGTCTTCCTAAACCTCCTGACACTATCAGCATGTATATTTCATTACACAACCGTCTATCTCGTAAGACAGGCATCAAGATTTATTTTTGACAAATAAAAATAATCTGAACATGTACCTGTTTGTTATGATTTCAGCAAAAACCCATGTGAATATTTGTTTGTAGTGTGTGGCTGTCATTTATGTAGCTCTGTTTTGTTTTTTTCAGCTGAAATCAATGACATGAATATATGCTACATTCTGAGGGATGGTGACAGTACCACAAATGATGTCTTTCACTTCTCCATTGAGGACAGTGGTAAGGTCTTTTAGTATGTACTCTTTAAAGTACCATGGCAATGGTCGGATTTGAAGAGGGGTCCCAGTCTTATGAACATATTAACATTAGCACTATTGGCTTTTTCAAACCTGAGAAAGGCTTAGACACACTACAGTGGCCCAATTAGGCAAAATGTGTGTGCAAAGTGAGGAAAATAAACTCTAGAGCTATAATTTTACCCTGTATTTTAGGTAAGAAAAAAGTATTCATTAAATGAGGAACCAAAATATACTATTTATATAGTAGATGTGTGTGTTTTGTATTTGCTAGGGTCTGTTGATTTTTTGTTTTAACTAATAGCTTGAACAATAGATTTGAACATCAGGGTTTCTTGCTTATTAAAATTTTATCTAAGCATTCATGTTAGTCTTATTGCAAACTACATGAGAAGGCCTGCCTTATGGCTCCCACCCATAATTACCCATTATTTTTTTTAGCAAGCAATGAATCATTTAGCAAATGACTAATTAGTAAAGCAATTAGCGCAGACCTTCCCTCTAACGAAGACTAGTAATCAGGCACAGGCTCATTGAAAGTTTGAGGCAATCATGTCTGTGTTGGCGATTAGCAGAGGCAGCGTGCCTTACAGTGTGTCCTTTTTACTACCCTTCAGCTGTGATGAGTGAGCACAAAGACCCACTCTAATGGGGGCCCTCTTTTCCCACAAGTACTTCAGTAGCCCCTGTACTCATTTTCTCATTTCCCGTTTCTCGGCACAAATCTGTTGCTTCAGTTGAAATCAGCGGCAACAGGTGGATGGGGTGCTGATGAGTGATGAGTGAAAAGCAGAAGCTGGCTGTGAGTTACAGTTCCTTTTTTGAGCTGCTGTTTGCTTTGAGCACGTTTGGAACTCCTTTGTTGCTGAGGTTCCATTAGTCCCTCTGTTATTACCCCACTTTGGTTATTTGTCAGGGATCTCTGGTGGTTTTTCACCCCTCTGTCATTCTCTTGATGACATACTTGCGTCCAACACTAGTAGTTTGTCCTCCGGAGCTGGCAATTAAATTCACTTTCTCACTTGCTCTCCACAGTCTTTTACATTTCTTTTAGACATGAGTAGAATTAAAAATAGCATGTGTTTTTTCTATAATCTTAATCACAGTTATGTGCTCACTGTCAGACACAGCACAAACCTCCAAAATGTCATTTTTCTGACATTTGATTTGTGTTTTATTGTTGTACACAAATGCCTCTACAAATTTATAAATAGCTGGCCAACCCAGACCTGAGGACTCACAGCTCTGCAGTTAGTGAAAATATTTTTTTTCACTAAGATTTAAGAGGTGTTAGTGGCAGCCTTGAATCCCTGGAGCCTGCAGTTTTTTCGACACCCGTCTGGTGGAGGAACTTAATGGTGTACATTGGCACACGGCTGCTCTGTGTCATGTTAAACGATGGAAAACACCCTCCTCCTTGCTTCAAGTTCACTGGGTCACTGCATCTTTACAATACCTTTTGGGGAAAAGGCTGCTTTTCCTGTTGCTTCACCTTACTAGTATTCCAAAAGTGAATATATCAGATGTAAGCATAGCAAGAGTTTGTTGATGAGTAACTGTGTGTCAGATTTTTTGTTCTATATTTTTGTTGGTCTATATGTATCATTGTCAATCTTTTGTAATTACATATCTATATCTAAATAACGAACAATAACAAAAATCATCCAAATGTATGTTTACTGTCTCTATTTAAAGATATGTTTATTATAACAAAATAGGAATTTGAAATTGAAACGACTAACAACCCAGGCTTAGTGCAATGCACTGTTAAAGTTTGAATGTGTTTTTTTGTTTTGTTTTAACAGAAAGGTTAAATGAATGGAAAGTGACAAGTCATTTATTAAGTGCTTCCCATAAACTAAAGTCTTTTTGACTACTGACCGCTAGATTACTTTAACTGAGGAAAGTGCTGCTCTTGGGATTTTAATTGAACTGTCAGAGGCTGAGGTTCTCTTCCGCAGCAATGTATCTGCTTCTTTACACTGTATTTTACATGCAGTTTGTGTGTAAGGAGCCTAAATTCAAATGTCATTTAGACTTGGCCTGCTCTCATTTACTATTTGTCAAGTTTGTAGTTGAGATTTGACCTTTGGTTTTGCTGTGACAGTGAGTTTTTGTGACTTTTAAAACTATAACTAATAGACATTTAGCTTTATAAAAGTTATGTTCTTTTATTAACTAAACTTGGTTTAATAAAGACAAAAGTTAAAAGATTGGAATACTTGTGTAATATTTCTTGTAGTCCACTAGTTTATCATATAGGACTCTTCATTTTTATTGCTAGAAATGAATCTTAGTTGTATTTAAGATGCTTTTGCCCAAAAGAAGATGACAAAGTTATTTTCCCATAGCTGCTTGTATAGCTCAGTATTTGTTAATCCAATAAAAAACCTTGGAAAAATAATCACACAAGAGTGAAATTGCACACATTCATTTATGGGTAGGTGTCAATAAACTATTTTGGAGAAATCTGAAACCTGGAGAGCAAAGTCACCAACAGACGCTTGAGCCAGAAACCGTTTTAATTACTTAGAAAGTGTTTTGTTTGAAACAAAATTGGTGTTTGGATGTGTGTGTACGTGCGTGCATGTGTGTGTTGCTGGCTAGGGTTGGAGGTCTGCTCTTGTCATTTTAAATCAGGTAATTGCTGTGTTTCGGTGGACTCCAGCACTCCCCTTGTCTCCTGGGGATTCGAGTGTATTCAGGTGAGCTTACCTGAGCACACACAAGCCCTGGCATTCCCAGGTAGTTGTTTATTGAGCTGAATCCCTGTCTGCTTTCAGCCAGTCAGTCAGCATTACAGATGTTCTTAGTGACAGACGCAACTGCTGTGGTCTTTGTTTTTCATTCCACTCACGTCCACCTTATTCTTTCCTTTACCGGGGTACCAAGAGGCTAAAAAAGATCATTAAGTGCTCCAGTTAAAAAAATGTCATGCCTGAAGAGCAACTAAAAAGTTTTCTTGTGTTTTCCATTTGACCAAAAATATTTGTTCACTAGGGCCGACGGAGTGCACAAGTCATTATTTGTAGTTTATCCTGAAGCTCTTTTGCATGATATAAAATAGGGTTGGACTGGACCTATTTTTTATGAAAGGCCTTGAAACAAAGAGATTTTTGTTGTCTTCAATGCATGCCATAAGGCTCACCTCCACAAGGACGTTTTATTTGTTTCTTTTGCGTCATGTAACAAGATAAGGAAAAGTCTCAGTCAGTTCCTTGAGTTAATAAATCCTCCAAACCATTTCAATCTGCAGTAACATCTGATATGTCGGCTGTTAACGGCCCCCATGCTATCTGCATGTAATCGCTTGTGACACTGAGCACATACTCCATCTCCCTTGTCTCCCATATGGTTTAATTCCTGGTTTGGAGGGATTATCTTACTCCCCATAGCGTGCTAAAGTACAACAAAAGTAAGGCAGAACATGCACTCACACGTAGATGCGAGGTTGGTATATACTGTAATATCCTCTTCACAGCTGAGGTGATGACTCTGTAGTTTTGTTTCATCCTGTTAATAATAAAACTGTCTGCCTTATACTTTTCTTCGGAGGTATAACATTGCTGTGTCCTTGGGACCTATGTGGTATGAATCATGTACAGAAAGCAGGCTCTAAAATTCAGAAAATTACAAAGCTAGTATAGGTGTTTGGTCTAGAAATAATTTTAGGATGTTGAGGGGTTTTCCATATTCCACCTGTGCTGTCAGTAAAGTAAAAGTCAGTAAATTTTAGATATAGTAATTTAATGGTGAAGAAATATTTAGTGACATAACATCTAAGATTTTATTATAGAGCTTTTCTTGAGAAAACATCTGCTTGATTTAAGCTAATCATTCTAATTTGGTCAGTTATTTGTGTCTTTTCCTGGTTTCCTGTGTTTCTAAGATCCTGTTATAATTTCCTCACCTTTCTGCATTGCAGCTATATTTACAAAGCCCCTGCTCCAATCTTCTTGGTTCAACACAGCATAACAAAGTATATTTGCAAGCTATTTTTTTCCATTTTAGTGTGAAAGGAGCAGAGTGTATTTAGACAAATGCATATTTGGGAAGCAACTAACTAAAAAAAGTGAAGAAGCTGCACTATCTTTTGTGCTGCTCTTGTCTCAAAGAAGTTTGCTATTCAGTGGGATCTTAAAGATCCTATCTAATTTTATTCATTTGAACAAAAGACTAACAGTGTTATCGGCTTATTCCACAGCCAAATCACTGAAAACATTGTAATGACAGGTTTTATTGTGAGATGATGAATCCAGCATTGATCTTGTGAGGCTTTTCTTGGGTTTGCCTTTCTTTCCTTTTAGAAAAAAAAAGAATACAGGGAACCCTGGTTGATTAGTATTTCCTAGTCTCAATATGCTGCCAAAATGAGTATGTGGAGCCAAGGGTAACAAAGCAGAGGCAAAAGTATAGAAAGCCCAGGCCCAGGCATGTCCCGTGGATGATAAAATGTGTCATGACTGCCTAAGGATATCAGTGTAGCAGAACTGAGATGGCTCTTGAAGCCAAAAGCTTCTTGGCTTAAGTTTTTGGCATCTGATTGTGGATTGTTTCAGTTCTCAGGTCTGGAAAACCTGATGAATGCATTTACCAAAATTCAAAAAGCAGCAGCAGCATTATAAAAAAAAAGATAAACAGTGCTAGATCCATTTATTTGTATTAAGTGATTTGATTTGCTGTTTTGAAAAATGAGTGTGAAGACACGATTCCTACTGTAATATCAGGCTGTGTTAGTTTTGCAGAATCACTCTGGATAATGTGTTTTTGGCCCCTGAATCCCAGTGGTGGGCCAGAGTTGCTCCTCTCAGCCATGCTGTGTGCTAAACCTCTGGCAGCTGGCTCAGTGGTCCCAGCTCTCTCCAGATGAGCTTGGTTTTAGCCATTTGAACCCCTTGCATGGTACACCCTCTTTTATATGCACTTTTTATGCACATTCACAGTTGCACACTCAGAGGATTCACTCTCTTGCCATTGTGGGAC